TTCCAGTGTTGGCACGTTCACCGCTTCTGGAGGCAGGTTGTTCCACTGGTTAATTGTTCTAACTGTCAGAAAGTTTCTCCTTAGTTCTAGGTTGCTTCTCTCCTTGATTAGTTTCCACCCGTTGCTTCTTGTCCTGCCTTCAGGCGCCTTGGAAAATAGCTTGACTCCCTCTTCTTTGGGGCAGCCCCTGAGATACTGGAACACTGCTATCATGTCCCCCCTCGTCCTTCTCTTCGTTAAACTAGACATACCCAATTCCAGCAACCGTTCCTTATATGTTTTAGCCTCCAGTTTTATCTTTGTGTGTTTCTTTTTTAATGCTTTGTGCTTTCCGGGAGAATATTTAGCACCCCAGATCTGGAGCAAAGGGCTTATTTTCCCAGAAAAATAAAATAAAATCCTGAGGTAAAAGTGTTTTCATCACTTGTATTTCACAGTCATGTGACGAGAGTCCTCAAAGCCACCGTTGCAGGTTTCTTCGCCATCTGCCACCCTGGAGAGAACCGAGTCTGATCCGCCGTTGATCCCAACGATGAAAATGGAGGCCCCAGAATCTCCGGCGGACCTGAAGCCAGCATTAGACCTGGATGGGCCAAGAGAAAGCCCCAGCGTGGCCCCGATGGGCTCCGACCAGCAGGATCTGAGGTGGAGAGGTCTTCCACGCATTAAACAGGAGCCGGAAGAAGGCTGCCTCTCGTCCCTGCACTGGGAGGCCCAGTGGCAGGAGTTCCTGGGGGGCATGCAGGCCCCTTGCCCAGGATGGGGGTCCAGACCGCTGCCGGTCGCTGCCCCGTGGGGGGACACCAAAGCACCCTTGGCCCATGTGGAATTGGCGGCCGCCAGCAGCCAGCGGTCCTCGGGAGGGGCGTTTTTCCAACCTGGGCCGCCCGGCTTTGTGGGAACGACGCAGCCGGCTGACCAGGAAAGGCGGAAAGTTAAGGAGGAGGTGGAGAACCAGGATCCCCCTTGCCAGCGCTTCAGACAGTTCCTCTACCAAGAAGCGGAGGGCCCCCGAGAGCTTTGCAATCATCTCCGGGAGCTTTGTCACCAATGGCTGAAGCCGGAGAGATACTCCAAGGAGCAGATCCTGGAGATGGTGACCCTGGAGCAGTTCCTGGGTATCCTGCCCCAGGCCATGGAGTGTTGGGTCAGGGAGTGCCACCCCCACACGTGTGCCCAGGCCGTGGCCCTGGCGGAGGACTTCCTGGTGAGGCATCCGGAGGAGGGGAGGCAGGAGCAGAAGGTGAGAGAGCCTGAAGTCCTCTTTGGGACCTCAGGTGGGCCCACCACCCTTCCAGATCCTTAATAGAAGCGGATGTAGAAGCTGTCCTTTAATTTGCCCATATGCCCCAGAGCAGGGGTAGGCAACCTCGGCTCTTTTATGACTCATGGACTTCAACTCCCAGAATTCCTGAGTCAGCTTAGCTGACTCAGGAATTCTGGGAGTTGAAGTCCATGAGTCATAAAAAGAGCCCAGGTTGCCTACCCTTGCCCCAGAGGGACGGGCTTTTAGGCACCATGAGGCGTGATGGGTATTCCTAGGGCAATTTTGGCCATCTTTTGGGAGCTGCCACTATCCTGAAGGGAGCCAGCTGGAGGCAACATGGATTTTTGAAATTTTACAAGGTTGTTTTATCGTTTTAAAACTGTTCGTCTTAAATTAATTCTAGTTTTTAATGTTAATTGCTTTGATTATATTGTACGCCGCCCAGAAACCTCCTCTGAGGGAGACGGGCTGTTAAGAAATAGAAGAAAGAAAGAAAGAAAGAAAGAAAGAAAGAAAGAAAGAAAGAAAGAAAGAAAGAAAGAAAGAAAGAAAGAAAGAAAGAAAGAAAGAAAGAAGGAGGGAGATGAAAGAAAAAAGAAAGAAAAAGAAAGAAAGAAAGAAAAAAAGAAAGAAAGAAAGACAGAAAGAAAGAAGAAAGAAAGAAAGAAAGAAAGAAAGAAAGAAAGAAAGAGAGGGAGGGAGGGAGGGAGGGAGGGAGGAAGATGAAAGAAAGAGAAAGAAAGAGAGAGAGAGAAAGAAAAAGAAAGAAAGAAAGAGAAAGAAAGAAAGAAAAAGAAAGAAAGAAAAAGGGAGGGAGGGAGGGAGATGAGAAAAAGAAAGAAAAAAGAAAAAGAAAGAGGGAGGGAAGAAGATGAAAGAAAGAAAGAGAAAGAAAGAGAGAGAGAAAGAAAGAAAGAAAGAAAGAAAGAAAGAAAGAAAAAAAGAGGGAGGGAGGAAGATAAAACAGAAAGAAAGAAAGAAAGAAAGAAAGAAAGAGAAAGAGAAAGAAAAAGAAAGAGAGGGAGGGAGGGAGTGAGGGAGGAGGGAGGAAGATGAAAGAAAGAGAACGAGAGAGAGAAAGAAAGGAAAGAAAGAAAGAGAAAGAAAGAAAGAGAAAGAAAGAAAGAAAGAAAGAGGGAGGGAGGGAAGGAGGGAGGGAGGGAGATGAAAGAAAAAAAGAAAGAAAAAGAAAGAAAGAAAGAAAGAAAGAGAGAGGGAGGGAGGGAGGAAGATGAAAGAAAGAAAGAAAAGGCAGGGACGGAAGGAAGGAAGGAAGGAAAGAGGGAGGGAGAGGGAAGGAAGGAAAGAAGGAAGGAAGGTAGGTAGGTAGGTAGGTATCCTGGCTTTCCTAATCCTCCAGTAGCTCTCCATCTTGAGCAATTCCAAATATTTGCTTATTTTTAGGGCCCAGGGATGTTTCATGTGGTGACGGTGAATTTTCCTGACTCTGATCAAGTATCATCTGAAAGGCTCCTTAGCAGGCCAGTGAAACAGGAGGTCAACGAAGATGGACTTTCCCAAGGTAAGCAGTTCTTAACTACCAGTTAAATCAGGGTTTCTCAACCTTGGCAACTTTAAGATGTCTGGACTTCAACTCCCCAAATTATCCAGCCAGGCAACCACGCTGGCTGGGAAATTCTGGAAGTTGAGGCCCATACCTTGTAAAGCTGCCAAGATTAAGAAACACTAGCAGGGTAGGCAACCGTGGCTCTTTTATGACTCGTGGACTTCAACTCCCAGAATTCCTGAGCCAGCCATGCTGAGGGGAAAGGGAGAGGTTTCCATGCTGGCTCAGGAATTCTGGGAGTTGAAGTCCACGAGTCATAAAAGAGCCAAGGTTGCCTACCCCTGGCCTAAGGCCTACCTGTACACCAATGGAAGCTGTTGCACCGAGTTTTTCAATTCGCACACTTGTCTGTCCAAATATGGAAGTCCTACAGGAGAATATAATTGCCTACCTATCTCACTAAAGTGTAGTTCTAATTTTCCTGTGGAGTTGATTGTTCTGGTCTGGGCTACCTTGTGAAGCTCACAAACTAGGCTTGCTTAACAGTTATCGTTCATTTATTTTAAAATGTAAATGTTAACAGTAGGAAAGATTCTTCCGTTAACTTTTTTTTTCATAGACAAATATCTTTCTTGCTAAATGCATTTATTTATTTAAATATGTAAATAAAGCAAGGAAGACATTATAAAAAATATTGGCCAAAGGAGCAGTAAGGGGACATCAGACTGAAAAAAAAGTTACTGTAATAGGTTGAAATAAGACTGAGAAAAAAGACATATTTTTTTTTTGCAAAAAGCCAGAAATATACCCCCACCTGAAGCTTCTGATACTGGAAAACAGTAGCAACCAACTGTAAATAACGTTCTCCCCAAATTCAGCATTTCCTCTCTTGTAGTTCAACACAGTCAGAATCAGAATCATAATAGAGCTGGAAGGGACCTCGGAGGTCCTCTAGTCCAACCCCCTGTTCAAGCAGGAGACACCATACCTTTTCAGACAAGTGGCTGTCCAGTCTCTTCTTAACAACCTCCAGTGATGAAGCACCCACAACTTCAGAAGGAAAGCTATTCCACTAGTTAATTGTCCTCCCTGTTAGGAAGTTTCTCCTTAGTTCCAGGTTGCTTCACTCCTTGATTAGTTTCCATCCATTGTTTCTCGTCCTGCCTTCTGGTACTTTGGAAAATAAGTTGACACCCCACTCCTCTTTGTGGCAGCCTCTCAAATACTGGAATACTGCTATCATGTCACCCCTAGTCCTTCTTTTCTCTGGACTGGCCAAACCCAAATCCTGCAACCGTTCTTCGTATGTTTTAGTCTCCAGGCCTTTAATCATCTTAGTTGCTCGTCTTTGCACTTTTCCCCAAAATCCAGTGTCTCTATGTCATGATTCCGACAGATAAAACTCTTCAAAGAACTTCGAGGCATTGTTTACCTTAAAGAATCTTTATTCAAGTTGCATGGCATCTGCACGTACATGGTAGAAGCCAAAATCTGAATTCTCCTCCCCTAAACACATCATATCAAAGCACAATCCCCTCCTTTAATTAACAGTCATAAATCACATTCTCCAATTAGTTTGAAATGCCGACCTTCCCTCCAGTTCTTCAACCCGCCATTCCTTATCATCTCTTGAAAAAACACTCTACTACGAGGTTGTTAGGTCTAACTAATTCCCATACACATTCTTCCTTCTCCCCCCCCCAGCATCATCTAATTCTAACTCTAAAAGTAACACAGAAGTTAAGGGGGAAATGGCTGCATTTTCATATATTGTCAAAGTAAGAACATCCCATGTTAGCAGCGTTGACACTCGAGTTTGCAGACTTCCTTTGAGAATGAATCTTGTTGTGTTTTCTCTTTATTCCGGCAGACGACGGGCAGGTGGGTGAAATCAAAAAAGACAATGAGTGGAACAACACCATGGGAATGGAGACCCATCGTGGCTCATTGTCCACGGAAAGGCGGGAAGAGACAGGTGGACTTGGAGAAGCGGGAGAAGCCCAGAAGAATCCTCAAGGCCCGCAGGAGAACGGCCCCAGAGGAACGGAGGCAAATGCGTCCGGAGAGAAACAGTCCCTGTGTTCAAATTGTGGGGGAAGTTTTAATCCTATCTCCGGTCTGCTCGGCCCAGAAGGGTTTCCCCTGGGCGCGAATCCCTACAAATGCTCCGTGTGTGACAAGAGCTTCTGCCAGGTTGCCAAACTCATCGCTCACGAGCGGCTGCACACCGGCGACTGGCCGTACAAGTGCTCCTTCTGCGGCAAGAGCTTCAACCGCAGCTCCGACGTCTCCCGCCACGAGCGGATCCACACGGGCGAGAAGCCCTTCAAGTGCACCACGTGCGAGAAGTGCTTCAGCCAGCGGTCCAAGCTGATTGTCCACGAGCGGTTCCACACGGGCTACAAGCCCCACACCTGCTCCTACTGCGGGAGGAGCTTCCACCAGAGATCGGACCTGGTGAAGCACGAGCGGATCCACACGGGAGAGAAGCCCTACAAGTGCTCCGATTGCGGAGGGAGCTTCCACCGGAGTTCGGATCTGGTGAAGCACAAGTGGATCCACACCGGGGAGCGGCCGTACAAGTGTTCCACCTGTGAGAAGAGCTTCCGGCAGCGCTCGGCCCTCCTGTACCACGAGAGGACCCACACGGGGGAGAAACCGTACGCCTGCACGGCCTGCGGGAAAGGCTTCAGTTGTAAAGCCCACCTGGTGCTCCACAAGAGGACCCACACGGGGGAGAAGCCCTACAAGTGTAACTACTGTGGGAAAAGTTTCACCACCAGCTCATACTTTGTGAAGCATCAGAGGATCCACTTAGGACAAGAAACTCTGCCGGTTCTGTGAAAGAAAGAAAAAAGCACGCTGAAATGTCTCAAGGTTTTCCCTTGACGTGGATCGAGAGAGAACCCTCGCATGTAGAAAGCTAGCAGGCCAGAAATACGATCCCGACGGCTTAGTTTTCTCTCTGCGGGGATTCGTAAAACAAGCGGCGAACTTTCCGTCCTGTTGCCGCATTGGGAAGAGTCTCGATCGGCCGCGGTTGCGAATCTCGAATTGTACAGTTTGATTTCGGTGGAAAGAAACATCCGGGCTGAATCGTGTGAGAGAAAAAAAAGCTGAGAAAAGGGCCTGTAACGGCTTGCCTCACAGGGGGGAAAAAAAAAATCCCATTTATAAAATGTACGGGTGAGGAGAGCAGTTAGGGAGAAGCAATTATCCCTGTCCTCTGAAATTGAGAAAATTCAGGGGTGCTTTCTTGAGGGGTGGGTTACCTGACCTGCTTGGAAGGGACCCGGATATGCAGGCCTCTGCTTCTCCATTTTAAAAGATTGGGTAGCAGTTAGGACAGGCCCTTGCAGTGTGTTTCTCGTATTGAGGTTGTAGGCACCCGTGGGCCTATCACCCCCCTATTTCCCCCGTATTTAATTAATATATTTTAATTAAAGCTGATAATAAGCGGAAAACTGACTTTTGAGTCAGGCACTGGCCTAAGGCCCAAAGGCTCCTCAGCCTTTCTTGGAAAATGAAAATGATGGCTGCTTGGTTGGAAATGGATCCAGATAGCCAGAAAAGAACGCTGCATTGGCCGAAAGGGGTGGCTAACTGAGGAATGCTGGGTGAGCTGGGGTTGACCGCCCCCCATTGTAAAATTCTGAATATACACCCCCCAAACACACTCAACCCCGTCTAGTAAGGTTGCTAAAAGACCCTGAACGATGGGTCTGACCTCCTATAGTACGGCATCTTCCTGTGTTCCTAAGAAGAATTGTTCTAAATTATTTGTCAAGAGGTCACAATTCTGAAAACCTCTATAAAAAGAATCCCGAAAGAGAATTTAGCCAAAACATTTCCCTTTTATACTCCGCTCTGTCCCCAGCCCTTCCTCCCAGACACAAGCAAGTTTTGAAAAAAGGAAAATTCGGATTTTTACACTTTGCTATTAAAAATACATACTTTCTCAACAGGTGTATAAGGCAGTTCTTGACTTACAGTACTCAATTAGTGACACCGGCACTGAAAAAAGTGACTTGTAACTATCACATGATGGTTGTGGCATCCTCGTGGTCACGTGATCAAAATTCAGACGCCTGGCAACCAACTCATATATTTATGACGGTTTGCAGAGTCCCAGGGTCGTGTGATCCCACTTTGCGACCATAGTCAATGGGGAAGCCAGATTCACTGAACAACCGTGTTACTAATTTAACAATTGCCATAATTGACTTAACAACTGGGGCAAGAAAGGTTATAAAATGGGGCAAAGCTCATTTAACAAATGTCTCACTTAGCAATGGAGATTCTGGGCTGAATTGTGGTCGTAAGTCAAGGACTACCTGTAATTCATTTACAGTATAGAACTGTTAGACCGGCAAGCTTGGCTGCTTGAGGATGGGTGGACTTCAACTCCCAGAATTCCCTAGGCCAGGAGTAGGCAACCTTGGCTCTTTTATGACTCGTGGACTTCAACTCCCAGAATTCCTGAGCCAACATGGCTCAGCTTGGAAACCTCTCCCTTTTCCCTCAGCATGCCTGGTTCAGGAATTCTGGGAGTTGAAGTCCACGAGTCATAAAAGAGCCAAGGTTGCCTACCCATGGGCTAGATGGTCACTTGTCTGAGAGATGGTATAGGTTCTCCTGCTTAAGCGGGGGGCTGGACTAGAAGACCTCCAAGGTGCCTTCCAGCTCTATTCCGTTAAGAATATTAAGCGATCAAGCATTAGGCAAATCCGACTTCCCCCATTGACTTTGATTATTGGAAGCCGGCTGGGAATGCCGCAGATAATGGCCACAGGTCCCCATTGTAGAAACATGCCCAAATTTTGATCACATGACCGTGGGGATATTGCCGATGTCATAAGAGCGAGGACCGGTTGCAAGTCGCTTTTTTCAGTGCCGTTGTCATTTCAAACGGTCGCTAAACGGATGGTTGTAAGCCGGGGACTGCCTGTACCACTTTCATTTCTGATTACCAATAAAGAGGGGTGCGTGGAGATGAGAAACGTGAATTCTTATGGTATGAAAGCACGGACCGCCCTGGCCCAGAGAGAAGGCTGGCGGGGTTTCTTCTGCCTGTGAGCTACTCAGAGGCCTCTGATTGGCTACATCTGGAAGGCCGCCATGCTTTTAAATGCTCAGGCCCAAACCAGTATTTGGTTTTGGTCTCTTCAGCTGAGGTAAAAGGAAGGAGAATATTTATGTCTTTATGAGATGAAGTTAATTCTTGAAGAACTGGCGCCTTTCTTGCCCCAAATTGGAGACATGAGTTTTTGGGATCAAGCCACAGAATAGAACAGGGGTCTTCATACTTGGCCCTTTTATGGCTTGTGGACTTCAACTCCCAGAATTCCTCAGCCAGGCACGCCCTGGGCGTGCCTGGCTGAGGAATTCTGGGAGTTGAAGTCCACAAGTCATAAAAGGGCCTGCCTGGCTGAGGAATTCTGGGAGTTGAAGTCCACAAGTCATAAAAGGGCCAAGTTTGAAGGCCCCTGAAATAGAAATTATATGGCAGCTATATAAATTATGTAGCTGAGTACGTGTTTTGCCTGGAGAAATTTGCTGCGTTCACTTAATGACTTCTTCAAAAAAAAAAAAACAGGCTGAAAAATTGCTTCTGGACCCATGAGTTCACGACTTCAGACTGTATTTCCGATCCTAATTCCGGTCATAATCTGAGGACTGCCTGTACAGAAATAGACGGCTATCGTGTCTCGGAAGAATATAGGTTTATTCTTCAGAGTCCCAAATTTTTACGCCACTCAGAGTCGCCTTGTAAGGAAGAGGGGCGGCATAAAAATGTAATAAATAAATAAAATAAAAGCACATTGATTCCTACCCAGAAGGCCCATTTTTCTACAATTTTGGCCAAATTTAGCTCATAAAGGAACTGGTGGACTTAATAGCAGGTCAGGGAGAAGACCTAGAGATCACCTAAAGGAGAGCTTGTCTCTACTTCTGCGTCCGAACCGCACAAGGGATTGTTTAAAAAATAATTACATCCCAAATGCCTTTCCTTTGCTGACATGTCTTAATAGAGATCAGAGGAGGAGGGTGTGGTATTGTCGAAAGAAATCTGTACGTGTCTGTGTTTTGAAAAAAAAAAAGCATGAATATGTTTGACTATTTATTTATTCTTGTGGTTGGGACGCTCCCTTTTGAATGCCTGTAATATAAATGGCTTATTTCTCAATGCCTTGGTGAAAATAGATGAGTGTCTTTGGTTAAACAAGGTGGATTCAAGTAGATCACCTCTCTTCAGGTGTGGCTATGCAACGGTGGCAGCAACAACCCTCCCTCCGCCTAACCCTGCCAAAGAATTGTTTGCCTTACTCAAGACTTGAACAACACAGCTGCCAAAATGACTAGTCCTCAAAAAGGAGGGCAAAGAAGTCGTTGCGTGGATTGATGTATTGATTAGGTTGGGAGGAAGGAACGACAGGAATCTTAGCTGCACAAACCCTTATTTCAAAAACAGGTCTTTTCCAACTCCCCAAAGTTGTTGACGTACACTGGGACACAACTGGAATGTGATCCAGGCCTCCAAGACACCCTCAAGGGCAATGCATGGCTACCTCTCTAGATTTTCTGTATCTACCTTGGATCCTTTTTTTACTTGTTCTGCTTTTTTTGTTAAGCAAACCTCGCTCTGCGAATCAAAAGAATCTGTCTCCGAGCCGTTACGAGAAACTCTACAGCCAACATTAAGGATCTAAATGGCCACATAAATGGACATTAAACTGGATTGTGATCTTGTTTCACTCCTGTGCCTGGGAATGTCTGCAGGATCAGGGCAAAAAAGTCAAGATGGCCGCCAACAATGAGATGGAAGCAAAGCCGGTGGAACTTCAGCCACACCGGTGCAGCCACCATCTTGGGGACACCCTTGCTCTTGTCCAAATTGTGTAGTCCCCTTGTCTGCCTGACCGTATCGTCGTCGTAGCAGAAAAGCTATCAAATTCTGTTTCTAGAAGAAACTGGCTGGAGAAAGATCAGCCATCGCTTTCCCAGGTCTTAGCTAAGGATCCATTTGACACCAGCAGATCCAATTCAGACAGAAAAGCACAATTTTTTTCCCCTGACTTTTGCTGTCTTCCCCACTGTTTCTCCAAAGACCTTAAATGTTTATGGCTCAAGGGCGCATGTTTAATGACGCAATTGGACACACAAGTGAGGAAGGACCCTTCAAAATCACACCACAAGTTGTCCCAGCCTTTGAACCCTTAAAAATAGTGCTTTTATCTTGGGGGGGGGGCTGTCTATGAGATGCATGATCCTGAGGTTTTCTGATTTTTTTTCAATCTGCCTAAATAATTGAAGGCAGAGCTAGCTTGCAATATTAATGTTTATGATGATCGTCTTGTACACCACTTGTATATATATATACCTGTAATGCTGTATTCTTCAAATAAATAATCATTTTGGTTTAGAAGCTCAGCCACGAATCTCATTCTTGAGAGGCAGAGTTAGCACCTCAGTGGACCTCACCCATTTACTAATAATCGCTTGTGTTAAAATAGCTCAAGCATAGCTATGTTGGGTCCAGAAGTAGCAGAGAAGTATGCAGTTCAGTATGCAGTATGCAGTTAAGTTCAGTAGTGAGTAAAAAGTTAAAAAAAAAAAAGGAAAAAGGCAAGCATGCCGACTGGAGAATTCTGGGAATTGAAGTCCACACATCTTAAAGTTGCCAAGTTTGAAAACCACTGATACAGTTAAATGCTGCATAATCTGTAATTCTATTTCCTATTCTATTCTATTCTATTCTATTCCTTATTCTATTCTATTCCTTATTCTATTCTGTTCTATTCTGTTCTATTCCTTATTCTGTTCTATTCCTTATTCTGTTCTATTCCTTATTCTATTCTATTCTATTCCTTATTCTATTCTATTCCTTATTCTATTCTATTCTATTCTATTCTATTCTATTCCTTATTCTATTCTAAAATGCATACTAAAATACATACTAGAAAGCAGAGACATCACCCTGCCAACAAAATTATGTATAGTCAAGGCCATGGTTTTCCCAGTTGCAATGTGTGGCTGTGAAAGTTGGACCATAAGAAAGGCTGAGCACCAAAGAATTGAGGCCTTTGAACTATGGTGCTGGAGAAGACTCCTGCAAGTCCCCTGGACTGCCAGGCGATCCAACTGGTCAGTCCTAGAGGAGATCAACCCCGACTGCTCTCTAGAAGGCCAGATCCTGAAGTTGAAACTCAAGTCCTTTGGCCACCTAATGAGAAGGAAGGACTCACTGGAGAAGAGCCTCATGCTGGGAAAGATTGAGGGCAAGAGAAGAAGGGGACGACAGAGAATGAGGTGGCTGGATGGAGTCCCTGAAGCAGTAGGCCTGAGCTTAAATGGACTCCAGAAGATGGTAGAGGACAGGAAGGCCTGGAGGAACGTTGTCCATGGTGTTGCAATGGGTCAGACATGACTTCGCAACTAACAACAACTGTATTTAAAAACGCTTGGTGTTTGCTCTCCTGAGCATGGTGGGTCTTTCAAGGGTTAAAGCCACGGAGGGCATATTCCCAGAGCGGCCATGTGGCACCTGCGAAGGGGGGGGAATGGTAAACAATAAAAGTCCCTTCCTGCTCCCCCTCTTCCTCTCTCTCCCCCTCTCCAACAGAGCCAGCCTTTTGAATTCCCCCACCCAGATTGGGGCTCAGCAGCCATTGTGGCAAGGTGGTTTTTCCTTGTTTTTAAGGGGAGGAGGGAGGCCCATCCTTAGCTTTGCAAGATTTCAGGGAAGAAGCTGCTTTGTCAATGGGAAGCTCAAGGTGCACAGGTGGTCCTCAACTTACAACCATTCACTTAGTGACCGTTCAGTTACAACGTCATTGAAAAAGGTTACTCATGACCGTTTTTCATAGTTACAACCTGTGCAGCAGCCCCATGATCATGTGATCAAAATTCAGACACTTGACCACTGGTTCATTTTATGACGGTAGCTGTGTCCCAAGGTCACGTGATCCCCTTTTTGTGACCTTCCGACCGGCAAAGTCAATGGGGAAGCGAGATTCACTTAACAACCAGGTTACTAACTTATCAACTGCAGTGATTTACTTAACTGTGGCAAGAAAGATTATAAAATGGGGCAAAGCTCACTTAACCAATGTCTCACTTAGTAACAGAAATTTTGGGCTCCATTGTGGTCGTAAGTCGAGGACTACCTGTATTATCTGACGTGTCACATACAGCAGGGGTGTCAAACTCAATTTCACTGAGGGCCGCATCAGCATTGCGGATGCCCTGGGGGGGGGTGGCCAGAGTGGGTGCAGCCTACTGGGTGGGCGTGGATGGAGTGGGTGTGGCCTACTGGGTGGGCATGGCCAGTTCTACATCATTCGCATCAAGGGTGCCTATGGGGGGCCTGGGCAGGAGTGGGACAGATCTGAGGGTCTCTGGCAGAAAGTGGTGGGACCGTGGCAAGTGCCAAGATGGCCACCACAAAATTGTACATTGGCTCCCAGCTGGCCTGGGCCAGGGCCAAGGCAGCGGGGGCTGTTCCCTCACTGTTTCCAGGATGGCTTCGCGAGCTACATGAAACCACTTCGCGGGCCGCATCCGGCCCCCGGGGCTTGTGTTTGACATGTCTGACATACAGTATGTACATGTATGCAATAGGGATGTGGGAAGAATCCAGAGAAGCAGGGCTTTTTTTCAGCCGGAACGCGGCGGAACCGCGTTCCGGCACCTTTTTCCGGGCCGGCCGCACCGGGCGCAACATCTGGGGGGGCGCGCTCGCACTCGCAGCTCTCTGCCCCTGCCTGGCTCACAACCGCGGCCATAGGGAGGCTCGGTCGGCGTGCCCCTGGCCCGTTTCCTAGGCGACCCTGCCCGAGCAAGANGACGCTGGCCAACATGCTGCCGTTCGGGCGCCAATCAGCAGGCGGACTGGAGCAGAGGAGGGCGGGGTTTCCCACCATTCCTGTTCTCTAAAGGGGCGGTCCTAGGGTTTGATGAGGGCGTGGCCAGGTTTGGGTGGGGGCGTGGCCAGGGGAGGGAGGTGAGTTCCACCACCTTTTCTCTGAGAAAAAAAGCCCTGCAGAGAAGGAAATATTTTGGGGAATATTAAAAAGGCAAAATATTTTATTTCCCCAAAGGATCTTAAAGGCAAAAAAGCAAGCCCAGTTTTTCTTAATAGCCCCAAGCAGAAACTAGGCAAAGGCCTGGTCTGTAGAAATGCAGATGTGATAATCCATTCAGGAAGGTTGGAGCCAGGAAGATAGAAGTTGATGAGATTAGGAAGACAAAGACCCCTAAAATCTACATACCCCCACCCAAACTCTAAGAACAGAAAACATAATAGGATTAACCCACCAATACCAAAAGGATGCACTGAGACTCAGGTTAAAGTACACGACACAGGAAATACAAAGTCTCAAATAGGAACAGGAAACCACCTCAAAAGACCCAGAAGGTATAAAAACCCACCCACATGTGGTCAGTTTTTCCCAGAGTCATCTTTCTGTCTGGCTCTCCTCATCAATAAACTGCAACCTTCTTTCTAAAGCAGTCTCCATTTTGTTTATTCCCAGCTTGGACTGGACCCTGATGAAGATTTTTCTTTCAACGGGGATATGTGAATATATCTGAGTTTCTATATACATGTACAGTATATGCATGTGTGGCTTATGCATGTGAATCTATATCATGTTGGCAGGTGTGTTGGATAGGTCTGTTGCCTTACTTGTGAAAATAATAAAGGCGGGAGATAAATAAGTACATTTTAATAAAATATCTAGTGTACTTGCTATCTCCTGTTGTAGTTCTTCAAAAATAGCCTCTTCTTTTTTGAGCTTTCCTAGGCCTTATAACTCCCGCATTCACTTTACAACTGCTGGGCTTACTTGACAACCTCTGTATTAAAGGTTGTAAAATCGGAAGCAGTCACATGATGACCCACTGTACGACCGTTATCGATGTACAACCAAAATGGCAGGTTCAATTACGTAAGACGAGGACTATCTGTAAAGACAAAGTAATGAAGAGCGAGAAGCAAGGCAGGAGGTTTAAGAAGATTGTCCACTTGCAGTCTTAGAAAAGGGGGAATTATTTGTAGGGGCTCAAAAAAGTCAAGTTGGGAGCCCACAATCATGTGATCAAAGCACCGCCCCTTTTAAATGTATCTGTAAAAAGAGGCAGGGCTTCTGCTGTATAAGGTTGTAGCGGCCATCTTGACTTTTTTGACCTCTCCTGCAGAAGCTGCTGAGCATAACACGAATTTCGGGAGGGAAAAATACTTTGCAATATAAGAGTTGCCCAAGTTTGAAGCCCATGTCAAAGCAAGGCTCAACGAAACCACACCACCAACAGCCATCTATTTATTACAAAATACATAATAATAATAATAACCACACATAATAATTCATGAAAATCACAACGTACTGGGTTTGGCGAGTGTAATCTAATTAAATTCATCTTGGGTTTATCTGCCAATTTTGCCAAGCAAGCTCCGGACCCCCATCTGGATTGGAGTGGGAAAAATTATGGCTTCTCTCCTAATTAAAATTTTTTCCCCTCATGCATAATTAGAACAGATCCATTTCTAAGGTTACTTTTTCTACCCTCCTCTATTCTGGATTCTAGTTAGATTTAGAGAGAACCGGCTTGGTGGCAGCAGAAAAAACGTGATTAGTTTTTCCTCCGATCTTGGATGCTCTCTCACACACATCCAGCAGGCCCGCTAGTAAATACACCCACACCTACCAGCCTGAGACACCACCAATCGTTACACTTTTAAGACCTCCCCATCTTTGTGGGTCCGTTTATGGACCACTAAGTGCGCGCTGCAGGTAAAACACCTGCCGCAAATCAGACAGGAATAGGGTTTCTCCCCCGTGTGGATTCTCTGGTGCTGCATGAGGTGCGCACTCTGGCTGAAACTCTTCCCACAAGTGCCGCATTTATAGGGCTTCTCGCCCGTGTGGGTCCGCTCGTGCTTCACCACATCCGAACTGGTGGTGAAGCTTTTCCCACACAGGGAGCATTTGTAGGGTTTCTCCCCGGTGTGGATCCTTTTGTGCTTCACCAGGTCTGAGCTGGAGCGAAAGCTTTTCCCGCAGGCCGGGCATTTGCAGGGTTTCTCGCCCGTGTGAGTCCTCTCGTGCTGGGTGAGGATCATGCTCTGACTGAAGCACTTCCCGCAGTACGAGCATTTGTACGGTCTCTCCCCCGTATGGCTCCGCTGGTGTTTCACGAGACCCGAATTGGAAGCAAAACTCTCCCCGCAGGTGAGGCAGGTGTAGGGCTTCTCTCCCGTGTGGGTCCTCTCGTGCTGAATCAGGTTGGAGCTGCGCTTGAAGCTTTTCTCACAGAGGGAGCAATTGTAGGGTTTTTCCTCCGTGTGGGTCTTTTTGTGGTTGACAAAGTTTGAGCTGGTGGTGAAACGTTTCCCGCACTCGGGACACTGGTAGGGCCGCTCCCCCGTGTGGGTCCTTTGGTGGGTCATGAGATGGGCGTTGGAGCAGAAGCTTTTCCCGCAGAGGAAACACTTGTACGGCTTCTCCGCCGTGTGGAAGCGCTCGTGAACGATCAGGTAGGATCGCTGATTGAACCGCTTCTCGCACACCGTGCACTTATAGGGCTTCTCCCCCGTGTGGATCCTCTCGTGTTTCACGAGATCCGAGCTCTGGTGGAAGCTCCTCCCGCAGTCGGCGCACTTGTACGGCTTCTCGCCCGAGTGGTTTCGTTTCTGGTGGCTGATCAGGCTGGAGATGCTACAGAAGCTTTTCCCGCAATCGGAGCATATATAAGACGTTCCTTCGATGGAATTCCCTTCTTCCAGACCAGGGATCATGCCCGGCAGACCCACCGATCCGTGCTGGAGCTCACAGATCCCTTCCACTTTGCGGAAAGCCGAAAGGTCCGAGGCTGTTTCCAGGAATGAAACACACGGTTCCAGGAATCCAGGCTTCTTCACATCCATGGTTTCCCCATTATCATCCATCTGTCCACCAGCCCCTTATTTCGTTAAAAAGAAAAACAAAGAAAAATTAATCGGGTGACGCTCCAGAAGAATATACAGGCAGTCCTCGACTTAACGACCGCAACTGAGTTCAAAATTTCTGTTGCTGAGTAATTTTTGCCCCATTTTGCGACCTTTCTTGCCGCAGATGCTAAGTGAATCACTGCAGTCATTAAGTGACAGTCACACAGTTGAAAAAGTGGGTCTGGCTTCCCCATTGAATTGGCTTGTCAGAAGGTCGCAAAAGGCGATCAGAGGACCCCGGAACCCTGCAACTGTCATAAATAGGAGCCAGTTGCCAAGCATCTGAATTTTGATCACCTGACCCTGGGGATGCTGCAACGGTCGCAGATGCAAAACTGCCGTTAAATCGCTTTTTTTGTAGTGCCGTTGTAACTTTGAATGGTCACAAAACGATCTGTTGTAAATCGAGGACTACACATAATCTGTCTACTTGATGATCGAGAAAGAGCCCATTGCAGGTCCACATTCCTGGTGAAGCAGATGAGGTGTGAACGCCCCCACAGGCCTTCTTAGAGGTGCCCTCATGTTATGGAATTCTCTCCCTTGGGAAGTAGACACCCCAGTCAATTGTCACTTTAAAAACTAGCTAAAGTACTGTTGTTCCTGCAGGAGGTGGTTAGTTGGTCCTTTAATCCAGAGGTCCCCAACCTTTTGGGCACCAGGGACCGGTTCCACGGAGAAAGGTTTTTCCGTGGACCGGAGTGTGGTTTTGTGTACTGCCTATATCCCACGGATGGGGCTTTGCTTGTTTGTGCGGACCGGTTGCTGGCATGCTGCGGCCCAGTACCGGTCCACGGACCGGGGGTTGGGGACCCCTGCTTTAATCTAAGGATGATCTCTGCAATACTTTACTTGAATGATCTTTGCAATGTATTAGATGTTGATGAGCTTTTATTGTATCTCATAATGTTTTGCTTTTTTTTCTTGATTGTGCTCTTCCAAGTGCCCACCAGCTGGGATTGTAATGAGCTGCAAGAATAACCTTGGGAGACAGCAGGAAGAGCTGCAGCTTTAAGCTTCAACCTTGGCAGCTTTAAGACACAGGAAACCTAGAACTCCCAACCAGCATGAATTCTGGGAGTTGAAGTCCACACATCTTAAAAGTTGCCAAGGTTGAGAAACATTGGCTTAGACCAGGGGTAGGCCACCTTGGCTCTTTTATGACTCGTGGACTTCAACTCCCAGAATTCCTGAGCCAGCCATGCTGAGGGGAAAGGGAGAGGTTTCCATGCTGAGCCATGCTGGCTCAGGAATTCTGGGAGTTGAAATCCACGAGTCATAAAAGAGCCAAGGTTGCCTATCCTTGGCCTAGACCAGGAGTCTCCAAGCTTGGCAACTTTAAGACCTGTGGACTTCAACTCCCAGAATTCCTCAACCAACCATGGCAGACTGAGGAATTCTGGGAGCTGAAGTCCACAAGTCTTAAAATTGCCAAGTTTGGAGACCCCTGGCCTCTTAACTCATAGAAGAAATGGGAGCATGGAAAACACCTCAGGAAATATCACGGGGTTGGACTAGAAGACCTCCAAGATCCCTTCCAACTCTGTTATTCTATCTAACTCAAAGCAATGAAAGGATGGCTGTTCTCCCTGGTCTTGGAGCTGCAGTGGCTGGGCCGCTCTAGGATGTTTTGTTGCCATAGAGTTTGCCATCCAGATACTTATGTTTTTTTTTAATTTTTTTACTTTTTTTACTGCAAGATTCATCTGGAGTCAGGCCGTCTTGACTTACAAGCATTTGTTTAATGACGCTTCGAAGTTACAACGCCACCGAGAAAAGTGACGCGACCGTTCTTCACACCTGCGACCACAGCAGCATTTCCCCCACAGTCACATGATCAAAATTCAGACGCTTGGCAACTGACTCGTATTTATGACGGTTGCAGTGCCCCGGGGGTCACGTGATCATCTTTTGCGACCTTCGGACGAGTGAAGTCAATGGGGAAGCCAGATCCACTTAACAACCATGTCGCTAACTGAACAGCTGCAGTGACTCACTTAACAACCGAGGCAAGGAAGGTCGTAAATGAGGCAAAACTCGCTTAACAACTGTCTTGCATAGCAACGGCAATTTTGAGCTCAGTTGTCGTAAGTCGAGGACCACCTGTATTAAATAAATACATCTAAAAAAATTTGTTATGTCCCCCCCTCAGAGCCTCCTTTGGATTGGGGCAGGCTCTAAATACAGTGAAATAAATAAATAAATAAACCCTCCTTTTTTATATTGCATGGAACTCCCGCTCAGTCCAAGCAGTTCCTATTAGTCAGATCCCTGGTTCCTTTGACCTTTGATTGAAAGCGAGCAAATGCTTCACTTGTTTCTATCATTAGTCCCCCCCCCCTATTTTCTAGAGCAGGGGTGTCAAACTCAAATTTCATTGAGGGCCGCATCAGCATTGCGGTTGCCCTGGGGGGGGCAGGTGGGTGTGGCCAGCTCTACATCATTCGCGTCAAGGCTGCCTGTGGGGGCCTGGGCAGGAGTGGGACAGATCTGAGGGTCTCTGGCAGAAGGGGGTGGGACCGGGGCAAGCGCCAAGGCATGGTCCATTTCTTCATTCCTCACAAAGGGTGACACCTCCCCAGCATGCACCCAAGAGACGGGGCCGACGCAGTAGGAGCTGGTTCCTCGCTGTTTCTAGACGGCCTTGTGGAGCTAAGACTGAATGTGTTTCAGCATAGATGGCCACCACAAAATTGTACATTGGCTCCCGGCCGGCCTGGGCCAGGGCCAAGGCAGCGGGGGCCGTTCTCTCACTGTTTCCAGGATGGCTTCGCGGGCCACATGAAACCACTTCGCGGGCCGCATCCGGCCCTCGGGCCTTGTGTTTGACATGTCTGTTCTAGAGAATTGACTCTCTCGCTTGGAAAGACACCCAGCGATCCAAATAAAGATCTTACTTCGGTCCAAAATATCACGTTGGGCTATTCAATTTCTCTACACCGAGACAGACGGTGGAAGAAAAGGGAAAGAGGATGATCGTTATAAATAGGTTTATTTCAAATGACTAAGACTCCAACAGGAATATTCTAGATATGTTTTTCCCAAAGTGTTTTCCCTCCTTACGTGTTTATTTGATAATGAGAGAGAGAAAAAAAGCTAGATAAAGGCTCCATTGTAAGCTGCATAGCTTGGCAGGAAAAAAAAACCCTGTCACTGAAGATAAATAAAGCACTGGGCCTGGCAAGCACCCATCCCCAAGCAGCTTTTGCAATGGCACCTCTGAACACAAATCTTTGATGAAGATAATTGCAGGCAGCCAGGGTTGCCTCCTCTGTTCTTTTCAAACGCTGCACATCTGCCTGTCCAGCCAAGGTCTAGCAAGCAGGGTTTGGCTCGTTCTCCCAAAAGTGCATTCTGGTTATTTTCATTCAAGGTTGAGAAGCCAAACTTAGTTTGGGGAGGGTGTTCAATCTTGGAGCCCCACTAATGTGACTAAAGGGGCAGAAGCCCCTTTCCTTCCATCCAATGCACCATCAAATCAAATCCAGCAAGGTCTTAACAAAACAGTGGAGGGGGGGGAAGAACAGCTGTCAATCATCCATCTGCCTTTCACTTACCCTCTGGAACAACACAGCCCCCCCAAATGAGGTCAGCCCAGCCCTCAGGACCTTCCAGAAAGCCCTTAAAACATGGTTGTTTTTTCCAACAAGCTGGAGAACCCATCACTGGGTGTTTGCCCGTTGCTTGTATTTCTAAGACCTCTTCCCTCCTGCCCTTGTTTATTTAAGAGAAATAACAGAACAGCAGAGTTGGAAGGGACCTTGGAGGTCATCTAGTCCAACCCTCTGCTCGAGCATCACATCTTATACCAGGGGTTGAAGTCCACAAGTCATAAAAGGGCCAGGTTTGAAGACCCCTGTCTTATACCATTTCAGGTAAGTGGTTGTCCAATCTCTTTTTAAAAGCCTCCAGTGATGGAGCACCCACGACTTCAGAAGGCAAGCCCTTCCACTGGTTGACCGTTCTATCGGGGAAATTTATTTTGATCGTTACTGAAATGCATTTTGATTGTTGCTAAGGGTTTTGCAACAAAACGTTTGCAAATTAGATGTTTTAATTCCTGGTTCGACTGCATGCACGCACGCACACACACACACACACACACAGAGACAGAGCCACTTCGTGAGAGATGAGCACGCAGGTAAATGTGATCAATAAACGCACCTTTGGGACAGCCATGACCTGGATGACTGAAAATCTCCATAGACAAATAAATGAAATAAAGGCACCCCAGTTTGAGGATTGGCTGCACACACACACACCATTTCCCCCATGCAAGGAAAGGCTTGACATCTGTCTGCTTCTGCAGAGCTCAAATCAGGTTTAAGGCAGGGAAGCAAAGGGAACTTTTATTTTGGGGGATTCCCTCTTCCCCACTTAAAGGGAGCGGGGGAGGACCCGTCCCCCTCCCCTCCCCCCCTTTCCCCAGTTCAGCGGCTGCACTCCCCCCCCTCCCCATCTCATCCACCCTCCTCTCTCTCCCCCCTCCCCCTCCCCAAGCTCCTTTTGTCTGCAATCCAGCCGCGGGAAAAACGGCGGGGCCTCCTCCCCGTTCAGCCCCACCTGCAAGGTGCGCCGCGGAAGCCGCTAATCCGAAGAGCCGCGGCGATCGCAAATGCCGCCAGGCGGGCCAGCCTCCGCCGGAGCGATGGGAAGGGCGCCGGCGGGGGAAGGGGGGGGGA